ATATATATATATATATATACAGATATTTATTCACACTTCTATACTTGACCCTGATGTTTTATTGTTTATCTCATTATTAACTTCTTATGCACTTTTTTGGTTTATCAAGGACTGTCACAGTGTATAGCCATAAAAGGTCAAAAGGCATCACAGTTATAACAGAACAACAAGTTAAATTAAGATGCTTTGAGCAAACAGTACTGTGTAACCTCTAGTTCTGCAGAGTGAATCCAATGCGGAAGTGTCTGAAACTTGCATTCTCTCTACTTGCCATCAGGGGGCAGCTCCTCTGGCTGCAAAAATAAGTCTTAATTGTATAGAAGTCGATGAGAAAATGGCTCTACTTCTTACTTGATTTATTTCCTGAGTTAATGGTCTCGATCGCTCGTTTCAAGTCTTTTTCAATACAGCATGATGTTCTTTTAGTAAATTATGGTGTCTCTGCGTCATTACTGTCAGTCCAAATATGGTAACTTCCGTTCATGGTTGCAAAAAGCCAAGATGGCGATGGTCAAATCGCCAAACTCAAGGTTTCAAAATGGCAGTCCACCAACCAATGGGTGACGTCACAATGATTATGGTCGCTTCTTATATTCAGTTTATGTGTGTCACCTTATTTATGACACAGGACAGCAACATCCACCACATAATCCATTCACAGTCTGGATGTGTGCCAGCTTTTTCATTTTGTCAGAGGGAACAGAGTGCTGACCCTTACTGTGACTAAGGCTGAGTATATATTCACATCCAGATTCACATTTAGAAGATTGATTGTTGTATTTTTAGAAGGTGCATGATTTTGAGTAACTTTGAGCCACCCATCATGTGTTTGTAATGGTGGATACACTGAGAAGATAACTCATTTGTGACAGAAATCACATACAAATGTAGGCTAGATGATTTCATACAGCCATTATAAGCAGTGCAGCATCATGTTGACTGCATTGTTGGTTGATGTGTGTGTTGTTTGACTGCAGGCTCCATGAACGCAGTCATCCTGTGTGGCCTCAGCTGTGGAAGGACAGAGCCGAGTACACCAACCCTCTGTACAAGGACGAGTTGAGCCAGAGTCAGGGCGTCCTGAGACCCAACACCACCCCGTACTGCTTCAAGTGAGCTGCTGCAGCCAACTGACACCACATAATTGTATTCTGCCACAGAAAGCTAAATGTATTCTTGGTTCAGTAGTGTATGATAAATATGTAGTGGTACATATTCAAATTTGAGTTATACAATACATTTTATACATGTATATTTTTTTGGTCAAACATTAGGCCAGAAAACATTAAACGGCTTAAAAATTCTTACATTTATTTTTCTGATCCTTGTGTCCAGAATGTGGAAGGGTCTTTATAACCACGTGGAGAAATCAACGCCTCCTCGCCAGTCACCTGCCGACTTCCTGTCTGCTGTGAGGGAGGAGTCCCATCAGCTGGAGGAGGAGCTAACCAATCACCAGGAGGTACCGCCAGGAGGAACCGCCCACCACCACCCCCTGGGCTCCAGACAAGGCATACAAAACACAAAGACACCCCCTGCTACGACACGACCATCACCCCTATTCAACATCCGTAGCTCCAAAATGAATCTGAGAATCTGTTTAAATAAGATAATTTGAGAGATTGAGATTAAATACAATTTCTGAGCAGAAGGTCCAACTAAAATGTAGTTCTTCGCCTTTTGCCCAAATGGAAAATGAACAGCATTTATATAGTGCTTTTCTAGAAAACCCCTGAAAGCGCTTTACATTAATTAATTCACCCATTCACACACTGATGGCAGAGGCTACCATACAAGGTGCCACATGCACAATCAAACAATTTAAGGGGCTCAGTATCTTGCTCATGGACACTTTTACATTTAGACTACAGGGGCCAGGAATCAAACCACTGATTAGTGGACGACCGCTCTATCTCCTAAGCCACAGCTGCCCATATTAAACTCATAATGTCTCATTTGTGCTCTCATCCAAACAAAAGTTTAAACTGAGTTAGCACCCTAAACACCAGTCAGGCACTTCATTTTCTTTTTATCAAAAAAGTCAGTAAAGTAATTGTTAAATCTGTTAGAGGACTAATTGAAAGTGTGTACATATTTGGTTTCTCATTAGAGAATGTTAAGCCAAAGTCTGACATCCTCAGTCAAGTTTGAAGGAGACTTAGACTTGGATATTAGCAAATAAATGACAGATAATCCAAGTGAGAATGAGTTCTGTCTCTAATCACTTAAATTCAGCCATCCCCATGTCCCACCGCCTAACCCTCTGTCTCTCTATACAGTATATATATATGTATACAGTAGCTATATACAGTATATATATATATACACAGTGAGAGAGGAGTTTGTCAACATTGCTGATAAATGAAACGCCTGCTTGTCTTGTTGTTCTCTTGTCGCTGCAGAGGATAGCAGCCCTGACAGGGAAGCCAACCACATGGGAGAAAATCAAGGTTCCGAGGAGGAGGACTAGCCACTTGTGTCCCCTTACACAGACCCAATCAGCAGCTCCGCACAGAACAACGGCCACGCCCTCTCCTCTGAACCAGCCAACCAGAAAACTCAGACCAAGGACCCCGATCTCGCCCTGCTTCTAGGGCCGCACACCCAGCTTAAGAGTACCAACCCTGATGACCTCTCCGCTTGCAGCGACCTGGAGTCGGGCGTGGCCAACCTCAGCAGCAGATCGTCCAGCGGACTCGGATGAGGCTGTCTTTACTACTGCCTGACTGGAAAAAGGTAACCCTGCCGCCTGGCTGAAAGGTGAAAGAAGAAATGACGATAAATATTTCCCTCCAACACCCAGAGGGGCAGAATGTGACGAGATGGTTACGGGACTGAAAGGCGAATGGATTTTATCTCTTGTTTTCGAGCTGTAGTTTTTCTCATTCCTTCTCAGTCTAAAGGGAGTCACAGTGAATTACTGGAGGGAGAAACCTCACTGGCTGTTGTTCAGTTCCCCTTTTTGACAAAGGCACTGAAAGATCTTTCTTTTTACTTTTTTTAAAATTGTGTTGTTTTGTTGCAAATAGCCCAAAATATTATTTTTTTTTTATATGTGTATGTGTTTTTTAGGTGGCTCAATTTGTTTAAGGAATGCACTATTACTACTTTTAGATGGATAAATTTTCTATGAAACCAGCCTGAAATATAGTAGGACACATAGGCTTGAGGAGGGGAGTGAAACAGTCCGATGAAACACTTAAACATTTTAGTAGAACAAATTTCCTGGACTAACCTTAACTATGTCCATATTTATCATCAACAAACACGTCACCTCTTCAAGAAAATCAAAAAATAATTTACAACACTATGGAAGATTTACTGAATGATTTATTTACACCCAGTCTTCACTCCTCCTCCTCAGTGTAAACTAATGTGTTATTATAGTCATAAAGTCATACAATTATTTTCTCCCATCTCTCCTTGAGTTTCTTGAGCTATAACTTACTTATTCCACAGTTTGGACCAAGTTAGGTGTGAGGGGCCACTGGTAAAGTTCTACAACTCAGTAATGACAACAATTAGAAGCTGAGTCACATGATTACATTTTCTCTGGAAAATGATCTTATTTGTTTATGTAGAGGAAAGCAGATGCATGTTTTCAGTGAGTTTGGGGGTTTTCAGATGTGGACCCAGGATCAGCCATCCATCCTCTGGGTTGAAGCTTTAGTGCTGAATGGAAGAACAGAAATCAAGCTGGAGAGTTGCTGCTCGCGGGAAATGCAAAATTGTTCTTTTGTGTAGTCTAAACACTGGGAGGCCAACGACAACTACAACCACTCAGTTTCTTCCCTGACATGAAACCTTTGGTTGTACTCTAGTCTTAAATAATTTCTTCCCTTTGTAACTTTACCTTCTCCAAAACCATATCGCTCCAAAAAACAAATCTGCCACTAGAGATCAGTATTTATGCACATTCAAATATAAGCCGCTTTAAAAAAAAAAAAAAAAAGTGAATCTTTTCTTACAATACAACTTTCTTTTCCCAGCCATGATGGAGGTAAATAAAAAGATGACTACAATATGTCCTAGATCTACAGTCTGAAATGATATTTCTAGAATCAGTTTGAACTATTTGTCATTAACAAGGAATTGGAATCAACAAGAACAAAATGTGAACAAAAATATGAATGTTTATTTAAAGCCATTTATTTACTAGTTGGTGTGCACCGTCATCATTCTATCCGCAGTGATGTTATAATATACATCCTCAGCCCAACTAAATCCTTCAGTTGAAAATCATCATGCAATCCAGTGAAATCATATGACAGATTTTTCAAACATCATCATATACAGTAGACTGTTTGAATGATGCGTGCTTCAGGACACAAACTGTAAACTCTGAAGTTGTGAAATGCCCTGTAACTTTTTACATTCCCATTTAGGTAAAGTACCAACAGCAAAAAGAGATTTAAACACAACTTTTCATGTTCTCTACACTGCCTGTGTGATTCCATATGTTAACAACCATATACAGTGTTTGGATTGGTTAGTTCATTGTAAAGTTGGCTGAAAACCCACTGAACATGACTGGCTCCATGTGTTCCCTCAATGTGGGTAGACAGACCACCGGTTTTAAGAAAACTGTGTTTCCACATGACATTCATACAGCCAAATGAAAAAAATAAGAAAAGTTTTTGCCCTCCTTTATTGTTCAAATCTTTTTTTAGATTTCCTTTTTAAAGCTTGGCTTATACAGCTGCACTCAGTTGGGGGGAAAAAACAGAAGTAGAATAGGTTCCGACAGGTGTACCAACATGCAGATATGATAAGATCAAAGTGTGTGAGGATAAATGTCACCATGCTGCTGTGGATGAGAGAACACTGACTCAATCTAGTGAGCTATAGGATCCCCTCTCCTTTTCAACTGGAACATTTCACTGTTCCCTGTGGTGTGTGTGTGTTCTGTATCAATTGATGTAAATGATTTATCAATATATGACCTGTTAAAGGGAAAGAAATGCAACACACTGGCTCAGACGTATTATTCAAAATTACATGAAGGGCAGCTTCAAATAACAAAACCCGACAAGGCTTTTGAATTGTCAGAACAATGGAATCACTTTCAGTTTTATTGGTTCATCATAGTGTCACAAAATGAGAAGGAACCGACTGGCGAATAGTCAGTGGGAAAAAGTTGATCCGTTTCCTGCATACATGGATTTGACAAATATGAAATATCATGTCTTATTTGTCATATATCTAAATGTGTTCATGGCTAAGGGCTAAGGGCTTTCATTTCTCAAGGTTTGGCTTGCAGTTGGATGATTAAAATATGCTGGTCTTCAGTATCAATGTAACAATTCAGCAACTGAAAAAAACTCCATCTCATTAAAAAATTAAGCAATACATTTTAACCCATTACATCATATTTGAAGTCGTGACAGTTCTCATATAATATCCAACCAAAAATACCCAGAAATCCCTTTCTCTCATTAGTCAGTGAGTCTTCCCTCTCCTTCCTGACATTACCAAAGACACCAAGACTGGCTCTTTCTGAATTCAATCGATCATTTTTGTGGTCACGCCTCAAGATAGGGTCTTGACAGATAAATAAGACCTTGAATAGAAGCCTGTTTTGGCAGAGAGTGACAGTTGCTGCTTCTCTCTCATGAGAAGAAAAGCTGCTGACAAATTTGTTGCGTTTCCTCTGGATAGGAGACCTCATGGCCGATGGTCCGAGGATCGCTGAAGATCTCATAGTCGTTTCCTCCCTAACATCCACACACACACAAACACACGTTAGCTTACCTACACTGTGATTTATCTGAATAGCAAACTAGTTGAGCTCTACAAGGAACTACAAAGAAACCCCGGTGCCATTTATTTCAGAATTTAGCACAAACTGCTCTTTTGGGAATCAGACAATACAGACCTGACTTTTTATACCTGTTAAATTAACTATTGGTTAGTTATAAACTATTTTCGTTTTCTTCTTCCATCAACTGCTATTGTCATTTTAATTATTATTATTATTATTCCAGGCAGAGAAACTGAAACTCGACATGCTCATTAGTGAAACTTTTCAAATTTTATGCTAATCATCTACTTTTTGTTTGAGTGAATCCAAAAAACAAAACAATGTCATACACAAGTGTCTGAAGGCAGGCAGAAATCTTGCATATTCTGTGTGTTTAAACACCATCAGATTGCATATGCGCAGCAAACTGCTCTGGATAAACTGGCTTAATGAGAAAATGTTTTTGAATGGGGATGATAGTGTGTTGCCAGGTCTTTACGACTCATCACCGGGTGTAACAACCTTCAGGAGAGCACAGCATGCAGACCATCATTTATCTCCATTGTCCCCATTCTAAGCACTGACTTGCAAGATGACGTGTTTACATTCGTGTTTTTAGAATAGAATAGTGTTTTTAACCACAATGATGAAATCTGCAGTATTGAATGAGTAAAACTATAATTTTCCTAAAAATCTCCATCCATACTGAAATCCCGAAACAATGAGAAAACAGCTTAATCTCAACACAAAAAGGCAACTACAGCTTATTCTAAATCACATCCTTTCCTCTCCGCCTTGGCCTCTGTTCATACTAGATCATACACAAAACACAAAACCAGTCTACAGAGGGGCTATTTGTAAATGCCAGCTAAGCAAGTGTGAATGGTCAAAACTGAGAGAAAGGGATGAGTTTCTAAAATGAGACGGGTTAGTAATGTTAGAGGAACATGGATGATTCACTCAGCAAGGACGCTGTATACTGGTCTGTGTTGTCAAAAACAACCATTCCTGTGTGTCTGGGCTTACCAGAAAGTTCTATTGATAGAACAATGTGCGTCCTACAGCCATCAGCCATTCTTGTGCGTTCAGCAGTAATTAGCATACTCACCGGTTTGGTCTTGTCTCCAAAGAAGTGAATGGTTGAGTAGTTGTCCTCAACAAAACCCAGACAGAATCTCTTATCCCAACCATCAGGAAACACATCAAAGCTGATCTGGCCCCCTGCAGATAAACAAAGGCCGAGAGGCAGGGAGAGATGATGTGGACAGTTTACATGACACTGACAAAGAAACGGAGAGATGATGTGGACAGTTTACATGACACTGACAAAGAAACAGAGATGATGTGGACAGTTTACAATCACACTGACAAAGAAACGGAGAGATGATGTGGACAGTTTACAATCACACTGACAAAGAAACAGAGAGATGATGTGGACAGTTTACATGACACTGACAAAGAAACGGAGAGATGATGTGGACAGTTTACATGACACTGACAAAGAAACGGAGAGATGATGTGGACAGTTTACATCACACTGACAAAGAAAGGGCCACAGCTGAACTGGTGTCTCATACTGCCCGAGGTCGGCACCTGGGGCACAGTTGTGAAGCTGCTACGGTGCTGTGTTCCTGCAGACTGAACACAGGTTCACTATAAATACAGAATGCAGTTGACTTACCGATTGAAAATGACAATCCTTTTCCTTTGAACTCTTCCTTTAATATGGACACAAATTTCTCTCGGATTTTCTCTTTCTGAAACAGGCAAAAAAAGACTAGATCTCACAGGCCTGCATATTTTTTGTCCATCCAACTCTGAAACAATTTATGCATTGCCTCTTCAGTTAAAGCCAATTTTGGAAATTGACATTTAGCTGTTAATGAAGTACACAAATAGAAAAAACAAACATCTACATTTGTATTTTGAGGGTGTACACCTGGTGGCAGTGTAACGATCAAAGGTAAATAGCAAAAACACAATATCTGATAAGTTAGCACATTAAATGACGTTTTGTCAAAACAAACATCAAACAGTTGCCTAATTGCAGATCAATCGGACACAAAGGAACAATGTTTCTTTGGAGTCAACTTTGTGGCAACCTGACCCGCTCTACAGCCACCCATTAATTTCCTATCGGCTTGAGCCTGCTCATGTGTGTACTACCTGATCTAGCTCGTAGAACTCAATCCTCTCTTCTTGTGTACAGCTGCGTCCAATGGGGGAGATGTTCAACATGCCGTTACGAAATTCAATGAATGTCCCCCTGTGAAACATAAAACATAAATATTTAGTCTCCCTAATGCCAAATCAGATCGTTACTATCAATTACTATTTACATTTTCATGGCTTCCCAGCACCCTTCAATTACCAGTGCATCCAAACAGGACCCAAAAACAAATTAATAATGACATCATGACTCTGATATGACGGTACCTCTTCTTAGGCAGTTTGATCTTGGCCATGTAGTTGAGACAGAAGTTAATGAAATCTTGGAGTAGCTCTTCTCCCATATGGGCCTGGATGGACTGACAACAGCAAGCAAACAAAGTAACACTGGGGCCTGTTATACAAGGTAACTCCATCATATTCAGGCTTTTGTTTCACAAAATCAAGATTGGGATGGCAAATCATTTGAATCTGTCATACAAAATCTTTGACAATACAGGCTTACAACCATTCACCAAAAAGAAGATGTGCTTTGGTCACATTACATCAATCTTACCTGGATAGAGAGTAACTGTCCATCCTTATAGGCCACAAGACCGTTCTCAGCAAACACGTAGTCCACTTTCTGGATCACTGCACACATAAACATACAGGAAAACGGAGAGTCAAACTAACTACATATTTGATAATATATCAAATATGTAGTTAGTTTGATATATATATCTAACTACAATAGAAGAACCTATGTGCGTTTCACCATCATTTCCCAGCTGCTCTTTGATCTTACAAAGGTCCGACCCTCCTACCACTCCGACTCCAACTCGAGTCCTGAGCTTCTCGAGGAACTCTGCCATGTTTGGAGTCACACGCTGAAAAACACACAACACTTATATACTGTATAGAAGTCATCAGTCACAATCACAACAGTCTCCAGCTTTTGCACAACATTGAGTACCAGACTATTTTTCTAAATTAAAAATCTGCCTGTATTTCAGTAGGGAAGGTTTTCAACTGGGTTATGGACTTTCTAACAGCGAGAACTATTCAGGTTGAAATACGATCAGGACTAGCAAGTGAACTGTGAGAATGGAAAACATCAGGGGAGTCCTACCAAAGATGACACATGACCAGCTCCACCCAATGGTTTGACAGTAAATACTTCTGCACTTACTTCTGCACTCTTAGCAGATTTAATTTTTTGTTCCCTCCTCTCATAGTCAGTTTATTTTTTTTTTTGGTTTTTTATTTTTTTAATATGGGAATTTTATTAGATGCCTGGAATAGGTTCTGTGGTTTACACAAGCTTAGGAGATTTCAAAGTTTTGTTCTACGGTATAAAAGACATCAGTAAACACCCCATTTGTGAATTTTGAAGATTTTACATGTTTTAAAAAGACGAATGCTAACAAGTGGCCAAATGGGACTACAAAATGCAATAACGCAGACTAAGTTCATCATGTATACATACTAGCTGGGCAAGTTAATTAATTAATACGATAGTAATGCATTAACGCCGACAATTATTTTATCGTGCGTTAACGCAGTTTTTTTATTATTATTAAGCGGACATTTTTAACACAAGAACCTGGCAGCGAGCGTGAACAGCTGTGTTTGTGTGGAGTCTCTTCCTGTTTCCTTCACCTACATTCCCCTGGGTCCTAAGTCCCTCCATGTACAGCTTCTTATCACCCTCTATGTACCAACGTACATTTATAACAAATACCATACGGTAATCAGCATTGCATATATGTCTGACCAAAATACCAAAAAAAGCAAAAAAGAAATTATTCATTTAAATTATTTTTTTAGAGTTTTTAAAGTTGTTTTGTTTGGAATATGTATAATAAGCCTACCATTTAGTTATCACTACTGACAATTTAGCAAACATAAAAAAAGAAGAAAGAAACATGACGTAGATAGGTTTGCAGTTTTCAAGGTGTATATTTCAAATTGCATCTATAACACACATGAAAATAAAGTTCTGAACACCGGCTGAATATCCATTATCAGAATCATAACTGTATTTTAACTGCCACTGTGTAAAGGGAATACTGCTGTTAAAAAGGACCTTATTTGTTTAAAGTGTTTGCAAACCAAATGTTATTGCACTTTTGTTCATATAGCAGTACTTTTAAAATAAAAGTGCGCAATACACTACTTTTGAATT